ACTCGTGGCCCGACAACGGCATAGGGATTGGACGAGCGCCATCCGATCGCTGCGACACCCCCCTAGCAAACGTCGGACTCCCGGGAGGAAGGCCAAGCTTCTCGCGCGGGGGAAGCGTTTTTTTGCGACATGTTGAACCTTAATGTGCAACTGGGACAGACGTGCTCCTCTCGCGCACCTCAAAACCAGTCCAAGTCCAAGGTCTTGGCCAGCGACGCCTGCCCCGTGGCGTGCGACGCCTGCCCGACCTGGGCGGAGGTGACGGAGGACCTCCAGGAGACCTGCGACGCGGCCGAGGACGAGATCACCGCGCTCGAGGCCAAACTCGAGGAAGCGGTCGCGGACAAGACCGAGGCCGAGGGCGAGGTGGCCGCGCTCGAGGCCGCGAACGCCAAGCTAACGGCCGAGCTCAAGGAAGCGGTCGCGGACAAGACCGAGGCTCAGGGCAACGTGACCACGCTCGAGGCCAAGAACGCCGCACTCGAGGCCGAGCGCGCGGACGCGGTCGCGGCGAAGGAGACCTGCGAAGCACGCATCTGCGACGGTCTCTTCGTCGACGCGTGCGGCGCTGAGAAGTACGTGGACGGCGGAGAGTGCGCGGACTGCCCCGCGGGCCACACCTGCGACGGCACCACCGCGACCAAGTGCGCCGCGGACAAGTACGTCGACGCGAACGCGTGCCTCGCGTGCCCCGCCGGCTTCGCGTGCGACGGTACCGACGCGATGTACCCCGTCGCGGACACGAGCGAGCTCCTGGACATGCTCGTCGCCTGGAAGGAGAACGCGACGAGCGCCAAGGTCAAGTACGGCCGCCTCCCCGTCTGGGACACGTCGAACGTCATGGACATGTATGCGATGTTCGGAGAGGACCCCATGCGACCTGATTTGCCCGCGTTCAACGAGAACATCGGCGGCTGGGACACGTCGAGCGTGACGGACATGGCCACGCGTTCAGGAACGCCTACACCTTCAACCAGGACATCGGCGGCTGGGACACGTCGAAGGTGACGGACATGACCAACGCGTTCATGATCGCCACCGTCTTCAACCAGGACATCGGCGCCTGGGACACGTCGAAGGTGACGGACATGAGCGGCACATTCTACATCGCCACCGCCTTCAATCAACCCATCGGCGCCTGGGACGTGTCGAAGGTGGAATGGTTTTACGAAATGTTCTCCAGCGCCATCGCCTTCGACCAGGACATCGGCGGCTGGAACCCATCGTCCGTGACGGCGGAGGACGATATGTATTATATGTTCACCGACGCCACCGCCTTCGCGGAAGGCCAATCGTGCCCGCCCTGGGCCCCTGAGGTGGCAGGGGGGCCCTGCAAGGCCTGAGAGGATACCGACGCCTTCTGCGGCGAAGAGGCCGCGGCGGGCAAGTGCGACGCGAACCGGGACTACATGATCGATAACTGCGCGGCGTCGTGCGGCTTCTGCGAATAACGAGATGAGGACGACGAGATGAGAACAAGAAGAGGATGACGAGAACACGACGACGAGAGACCACGACGAGAACGACGAGATGAGAACGAGAAGAGGACGACGAGATGAGAACGAGAAGAGGACGACGAGATGAGAACGAGAAGAGGACGATGAGAACATTTATGACGACGAAACGAGAAAGACGAGATGAGAAAGACGAGATGAGAACGACGAGATGAGAACGAGAAGAGGACGATGAGAACACGACGACGAGAGAACACGACGACGAGATGAGAACGACGACGAGATGAGAACGACGAGAACACGACGACGACGACCTCGCGGCTGCTCCCGCACCGCGCGGACGCCGCCCGGCGACGTCCGCCCTCGGACGCCGCCGCCGCCGCCGACGCCCCGCGCGTCGGCGTCGACCTCCCCACTGTACATAGCCGCCCAGGCGGCACCCGCCACCCCTGCTTGCACCCCCTCCCCGCGCGCGCCGGCCTCCAGGCCGCGGCGAAGTTTCGTGTGAACATAAGTCCCTAAATACTAGTAGTGTTCTCAAGGTCCCCGAGCACGGTGCGCGACGACGGCTCCTCACACGGGCGCCCGCTGGAGCCAGGAGTCAAAGAGGTAGAGGAGCTCCCGGGGCTTGTAGCGCTTTAAGATTCAATTAGCCGCTGAATGACTGGGGACAAAAGGTTTCTAATGTAAAAAAAAGCCCGCTAGAGCTACCCGGGCGTCCGCGGCGTCCGCGGCGTCGCCGTCGTCGGCCTGGCAGAGGGCGACGCGGAGGCGCTCGGCCTCGTCCTCCGACGTCGCGCAGAGGAAGTGGAGCGCGGGCTTGGCGCCGAGGTGGTCCGCCGCGAGGTACGGCGCGACGCCGCGCGACCGCTTCGACCTCGCCGCGTCGGCCGGGGCCCCGTACGTTACTGGACGCCGTCGTCCGTCGCGAGGAGGAGCGGGTGCGCGAGGGGCGCCGGCGGCGCCTCCGTGCGGACGACGAGGAAGAGCCCCGCGAAGATGAGCACCGCGCCGAGCGCGGGCCAGCCCGTCGGCGCGAGGCAGGCGTCGTCGTCGGCGGACGTCGCGCAGTTCGCGTAGGCGCCGGCGGCGAGGATGGCCGCCGTCAGCGCCGCGGCGACGACGGGCTGGACGACCGCGAAGGCCGAGACGAGCGTCGACGACGCGCGGCGCGTCGCCCAGGTCACGAGGCAGTAGGCGACGACGGACTGGCCCAGGACCCAGTAGGCCAGGGCCCAGAGGGCGCGCGCGGGCACGCGCCAGGCGCCGCGGCGGCCGCAGTCGTCGCAGACCACCGCGAGGAGCGGCCCGCTCGCGTTGACGACCGTCGTCGTCAACGCCATGAGCGCCGCGGCGCGCAGGTAGGTCCGGAACGTGACGCTCACGGTCGGCGTGTCCGGCGCCGCGCCCTTGGAGAGGATCACGTACGCCGACGACGCCGTGCAGTTGACGAGGAAGAGCCCGTTCGCGGCGACGTAGCGCGCGCGCGACGCCGGCGCCGCCGAGGAAAGCGCGCCGAGCCCGACCATGGCGAGGCAGCCGGCGAAGGCGCAGGCGACGCCGCAGGACCGCCGCCACGTCAACGGCTCGCCGAAGACGACGCGGCTCAGCGCGGCCGTGATGACGGGCTGCGTCGTCTGCCAGATGCTTTGGGTGACCGCGTCCGACAGCTTGATCCCGGCGATGGAGCAGCCCTGGTCCAGGAAGACGCAGACACCGAGCGACGCGTAGAGGTATCGCCGCGGCGCCACGGGCGGCGGGGCGTCGCGCGGCTTGCGCGCCGCGGCGCGCCGCTCGACGACGAGGGCGACGCAGCCCAGGATGAGCGTCGCCGACGCCTCGCGCAGCGACGCGAAGACGAGCGGGTTCATCGACGGCAGCCCGATGGAGCCGACGACGGACCCGGCGCCGAACAAGGCGTTGGCCAGCAGCAGCGCGCCGGGCACGGAGGCGCTTTCGGAGGCTGCCATCTGAGAGCGGTGCTTCCAAACACGGCATGATGCAGCTCATCTTGCCTCGCCACTCCTCGAGCGCCAAGCACGACAATCGCGAGACGTATCGCCGCCTGTCCCCCGCCCTTTACGATCACACACTGTATCAACCCAGACCCCCCCCTTTACGATCACGGAATCGACGATGAGTTGGCAAGACAAGAAACTCGAATACGAAGAGCGCATGGCGCGGGCGAAAGGAAAAGATCTCCGGCTAATGTGCACCATCTGCGGGGAGAAGGCCAAGCTCAATTGCCCCTGCGGCACGACGCAGTATTGCACAGTCGCCTGTCAAAAGGTCGACTGGCGCGAGCGCGGCCACCGTAAGGCGTGCAAAAAGATCCGAGACGAGCGCGCGGCGGAAGCGGCGCCGAAGGAGGTGTTCTACGGCCCCGCGCCGCGGTCGCACGCCGACGAAGTTCGCGCCAAAATCGCCGCGGAACACGAGGCTGCACGCGCGCGCCGCGAGGCGAACCCGGAGCCGGTGCCGCTGTGGGAGCGCCACGGGCCGCGATGCCCGATATGCTTCGGCGACTGGGACCCGAACGAGCCTCGGGCGATGCAAATTTGTTGCATGCGCCAGACCTGCAGGAATTGCACGGAGAAGATCGGCGCCAATCCGTGTCCCCTCTGTCGGACGCCTGTCCCGCGATCCGCAGCGGAGTGCGTGGCGCGGCTTCGTCGCCACGCGGACCTGCCGGAAGCACTGGGGCAGTTGGGGCAAGCCTATTTTCACGGTACCCTGGGCCTCGTGAAATCGGCGAAGAAAGCCGCGAAGCTCTACAAGCGCGCCGTAGAGGGTGGCGACCCGGACGCGATGGTGAACCTCGGGTCCATGTACTGCGCGGGCCAGGGCGTCAAGTTGGACCGGAAGAAGGGGAGACAGCTGATTCGCATGGCCGCGGACCGAGGCTATGCGATAGCGCAGTACAATCTCTCGAACTTTGAAGGCTTGAGTGTCGAGGAATCCTTGAAGTACCTGCAGCTTGCGGCTGATCAAGGTCTTTCACTGGCAGAGCGCGCGCTCGGGGATCGGTTTGAACGGGGAGACGGAGTGCAGCGCGATCTCGAAGAAGCGAAACGATGGTGGGATCGTGCAGCCACCAGGGCCAAGAATCCCGGCATTCTCCACTACGACGGCTAGCTGCCAGCCTAGCTGTCAGCTAGCTCGGCTCGTCTAGGTACCCCTCTAGCCCCCCTGGATAACAACCCTCTCCAATTTGGAGTTGCCGCCACCAATTTGGAGATGTCGCCGACCCTGAAGTGAAGCTGTCTGACGCGGAAGCCGCCTCGCGGCAGTGTTGAGGTCCTTGTTAAAGCGTAAGGTTTGAGGTTTAAGCGCGAGTATGGTACGCCAGTTAAAACCCACCGCTCTTCCCCGCCTCGAGCGCGGGGCAGGGCGAGGATATGGCGACGTCCGCGTGGGCCGAGGCGGCGCCGAAGCGCTTTTCGAGGCCCGCGTCGCCCGGCGCGGCGCGGAGGAGGCCCGCGAGCGACCAGGCGTTCTCGGGGAACGTCGCGAAGTCCGCCGAGAAGGCCGCCGCCGCGTCCCTCGGCCGGCCGCACGCGAGCCACGCGGCGCCCTCGCACTGGCGCAGCGGCAGGTGCCACAGCGGCGGCTCGTCGTAGGTCCACGTCTCCTGGACCTTGGCCGCGGCGCGCAGGACCGCCGCGCTCGCGCAGCGGTCCGGCAGGAGCGCGGCGAACAGCGTCGCGTTCGCCGCGAGCGACACGTTCCGCAACACGTCCGCGCCGCGCTGGCCGTCCGTCGGGGCGTCGTCGTCCGCCGGCAGGCGCGCCGCGGCGGCCTGGAGAGCGTCGTACGCCGCCGAGGCGCCGGCGCCGTCGCCGCGGTGGAACGCGGAGAGGCCCGTCGCGTATTGCTCCAGGACGGCCTGCAGCGGCCAGGGACGCGGCGGGGGCGCGAGCGCGGCCGCGACCTCGTCCCAGGCGCCGAAGCGCACGTGGACGAGCGCCGGGTAGTGCCAGGCGACGGAGCCGTCGGGCCCGTCCGGGCGGTCGGGCGCCGCCGCGTAGGCCGCGCGCGCGCGGGTCGCGGCCGCGGACGCCGTCGCGTTCGCGCCGGCCATGGCCGCGGAGAACGCGAGGAAGACGAGGTCGTGGCCCGCGCCGTAGGGGAGGAGGCCGCCGGCGAGGTACGCGGCGTCGCGCGCGGACGCGCGCGCGTTCGCGGCCGCGCCGTCCGCGTAGCGACCCACGCGCAGGTACGTGTGGCTCGACATGTGGATGAGGTGCTGCGCGGCGCTGCCCTCGAACTGCGCCGCCAACAGGTCCGCGGACCGCTCGCCGTCGGCCGCGCCGCCGGGCGTTTGGAAGCCCGGCGCGGTCTCCTCCGTCGCGTGGATCAGCAGGTGCTCCGCGAGCGGGTGCGCGCTCCGCCCGACGACGGCGCGGAGCGCCGCGAGCGCCTTTCGGACGCGCGGCGTCGGGGTCAGCGCGCCGTCGACCATGTCGTAGAAATGGTAGCCCGCGAAGTCGCAGTCCAGGAGGAGGAGGCTCTCGGCGTAGAGCGTGGCGACGTCGTCGTCGCTCCGGTCGGCGCCGTGCGCTTCCGCGAGCAGGTCGCTGTAGTTCTCGAAGGCCGCCGTCTGGCTCGCCAGCGAGACGTTGCAGGCGTAGCGCGCCGCGGCGGCCTCGGCGATGGCCGCCGCCTTGGGCGCGTCCGCGAGCGCGGCGGCGCGGTCCGCGGCGAACTTGGCCTCCGCCAGGTCGGACGCGTTCGTGAAAAAGGGCGCGTTGAGGTACGGGCCGAGCGACGCGCTGACGCCCCACCAGCACATGGCGCAGTCCGGGTCCGCCTCCGCCGCGGCGACCATGGACCGCTTCGCCTCGTGGTGGTTGAAATTCTCGAGGAAGTGGGCGCCTTGGACGAAGCGCTGCGCCGTCGCGTTGGACATCGCCGCGACGAGGTCGGCGTAGGGCGTTTCCGTGCCGACGCCGTCGAGGTCGGGCACGTAGGCGGCCGCCGCTACGGCGACGAGCGCGACGCGCATCGTGGGCGTCAGCATGCTTCTCTCGAGGCAGCTCATTAGGCGAGACGTTGCACTGCAACTTGCAGCCGAATTACTTGACCGCTACTTTGACCGCTAGAGGCAGCGCCTGGTCGCCGGCGGCGGTCCAGCCCTCGTGGGCCGCGCGGCCGAAGAGCTCGAGGCCGTCGAGGGCCGCGGCGCCGCCGAAGCAGGCGGCGAAGAGCGCGTCGAGCCGCGGCTTCGCCGAGTGCGCGGCCGGCGGCGACGCGAACGCGAGCGCGGCCGGCAGGGCGACGGGGGTCGCCGGCGCCGCGCCAGGCGTCGCGCGCCGCCGCGTCGCCGGCCTCGAGGCGCGCCGCGGCCCCGGCGAGCGTCTCGCGGTCGCGGGCCTCGCCGCGGCCGTTGACGACGCCGACGAGCAGCGGCTCCCAGGGCTTCCGCTCCGCCGCGGCGTCGACGGGGAGCACGGGCGCGCCCGACGCCGTGACCTTGAGCCAGTACCACGTCGCCACGTACTCGACCTTCCACTTCGGGAAGAGGCCGCGTCGCACGAACTCCGCGACCTTGGCGTCGTTCGCGACCCAGACGGCGACGACGGCCCCGCGCTCGCTCGCGAGGCGCGGCAGGGGGAAGCGCCGCAGCGGCCGCCGCCAGGCGTCCCAGCCCGCCGCGTAGGCGCCCTCGCGCCGCGCGGACCGCGACGGCCGCGGCGGGTCCGCGGTGGCGACGTCGTAGCGCCGGCCGCGGCGCAGGAGCGGCCGCGCCCAGCGGTCGGCGGCGGCGAGGAGCGTCGCGCTGCGCGGCGGCAGGGCGCAGGGCGCCGCGCCGACGGCGAACGCGGCGCCGGCGGCCGACGAGACGACGCGGTCCGAAACGTCGGACAGCGCGAGGTCGCCGCCGGCCTCGAGCTCGCCGTCGGCGCCGTCGCGCCGCCGCGGCGCGGCCGTCGCCGCGGCCACGGCGGCGCCCAGATCTGTCGTTCCGTCGACGACGGGGCGGCGCCGCTCGCGCGGGCGGCAGCGGGAGCGATGCGAGGTGCTTGAGAGCGCTCTCCGCGAAGGTGTGCTTGCTGTTCTCGTGGACGCGCTTGCGCTTCCTTTGCAATGCTGTTGCGTAGGGCGCGTCCAGGGACCCGCCTGGGAGGGCGTAGACGAGCTGCATCGACGTGCGAGCAGGCTGTTGAGGTCCACGTTGATGTGGCAAACAGCGACGCCATCCTGAGAGCATCCAAAGCCGGCTGCGGGCTGGAGGACACAATTTGGCTCGTTCTGTCGCTGTGCTCGGCGTCCTCGCGGGTCCGCGCTGCGCGGCACCGCTCCCCGCCGTCCACCATGATGCTGAACATGTTCGTGTGCATGCACTACGGCCTGCTCCTGCTCATGTACCTCTGGACGACGCTCAGCGGCGTCGACGCCGCTTTGCCGCGCTACTGCGGCCGGCGCGGCAGCGGCGTCGACGCGCTGGGTGCGCCGGCGGGCGACCTCGACCTGGTGCAGATCCAGGTCGTGACGCGCCACGGCGCGCGGACGCCGACGGGCGACTGCGCGCGGTGGCTGCCCGGCGCGCGCGCGCGGTGGGACTGCCGCGGCGCGGTCTTGGAGGGCGCGACGGTCGGCGGCGCCGCGACGGACCTGCGCCTCGCGCGGTCCTTCGCGTCCGTCGACGGCGCTCTCCCGGGGACCTGCGAGCTGGGCCAGCTTTTGGACGAGGGCTACGCGCAGCACGCGGCGCTCGGCGCGGCGCTGCGGGACGCGTACGTCGGCGGCCGCGTGGGCGCGCTGCCCGCGGGCCCGGCGACGGCGCGGTCCACGGACCTGTCGCGGACGCGCCAGTCGGCAATCGCGCTGCTGGACGCGTTCTTCCGGGGCACGGGCCGCGAGCCGCCGGAGGCCTTGGAGACGACGGACTTTGCCTCCGACGACGCCTACCCGAACGTGCTCGAGTGCCCGCGGCTCGCGGACCTCGAGCGGCGCGCCTACGCGTCCGACGCCTTCGCGGCGTGGAACGCGACGGCGGACCGGCGCGACCTCGACGCGCGGCTGGGCTCGAAACTGGGCGCCGGCTTCTCCTACGGACTCGACATGGCCGGCGGCCGCCTGCTCGACTGCGTCTACGCGTCGGTCTGCGACGGCGCGGCGCCGGGCGCGCTGTCCCCGGAGGACGTCGCGGACCTGGGCGCCCAGGCCGACGCGCGCGAGTCCTTCAAGCTGGAGCACGGCGGGCGCGCGTACGCGAAATTGGCCGCGCAGCCGCTCCTGGGCCGGCTCCGTCGGGGGCTCGGCGGCGGCGCGTCCTTCGCGCTCCACAGCGCCCACGACACGTCCGTCATGCCCCTGCTCGCGAGCCTCGGCGCGGGCGACGGCAATTGGGCGCCCTACGCGTCCGCGGTCGTCGTCGAGCGGTGGACGTCGCGGGCCTCGGGCGAGGGCTTCGTCCGCGTCGCCTACGACGGCGCGCCCGTGGTCGTCGACGGCTGCGGCGGCGGGGAGCTCTGCGCGCTGGCGGACTTTGACGCGGCGACGGCCTGGGCCGACGAGGACCGCGCGTGCGGCGCCGCGCGCGCGCCGACGATGGTCGTGGACACCGGCCGCGCCTGGCCCGCGGCGCTCCTCTGGAACGCGGCCTGCTTCCTCGCGGGCGCCGCGGCGGTCCACGTCGTCGCGCGCGCGCGGCGGGGGAAGGAGCTGCCGTAAGCTTGCGTAATCTCATGAGTGAAGGCGCCTCTTACTCGTCGCTCGATAGGTCCATGGACGCCACGGCGGGCGCCGTCGAGCCGCCGAGGGCGGCGATCGCCACGGCGGGCTCCGTCGAGCCGCCGAGGGCGGCGATGAGCTGGGCGCGCCGGGATTCGTCCTGGCCGCAGGTGCGCGCGACGTCGATCGGCGACAGGCCGGCGCCGATGGGGAACGCGTGCGCGGTGCCGGTGGTCTTCGACGTGGCGTCAGCGCCGTTGAAGATCAGGAGCTTGGTGATCTTGATCGTAGTTTTGAATAGGAAATCCGCAGACTCAGCATTGAGCGCATCCTCACCAAAGTTCGACATCGCGTTGTAGACGAAGACGTGGAGCGGCGTGAGGCCGGCGTCATCCCTCTGATTCACGACCGCGCTGTCGTGCTCGACGAAGGCCGCGACCTCTCCTTCGAGGAGCCAGTGTCGCTTGACATATTTCAGGAACATGGGCGTGCACTCGCGCGGTCGCTGTTGGAGGAAGTGACGGGCAAAGTTTTCGCGCGGGCACACTTTGATAGGAGCCCGGCTTGCGAAAGAATAGTCCAGTGCATCCCATCCTGGGTCTGGCACTTGGTCTGGCACGTTCGAGGGCATGCACAAGCGAGCGTCGGCGCCGCGCGCGAGGAGCGCGGTCGCGATGGCAGAGTTGTGACTCGACGCCGCGGCCATGAGCGCCGATTTCCTCCCCGGGGACGTGGCGTCTACGTTGATGTCGGGCTGCGCGACGAGGACCTCGACCGTGTCGATGTCATCGATGTTGGCAGCGAGCACGATGGGCGGGTCGAAGAACGGCGCGTCTTCTTTGGCGTGCGCCAGCGAGAAGAATTCGAGCAGCGCGGCAAGCGTCGACGCGCGGCCCCTGCACGCGGCAGCATGGAAGGCGTGGGTCCCCCCCTCGCGGACGGCCTGGGCGACGGCCGGATTGCGCAGCAGCGCGCGGACGGACTCGGGCTGTCCCGTGCTGCACGCGAAGGACAAATGGTCCGAGAACGCGCCGTTCAACACGCCCTCATCCGTGCCGACCAGCGGCACGCCCCGGGAAGCTAGAATTTCGATTGCCGCGCCGTCGCCCAGGTCGATCGCTTGGCGGAGCGCGCGCATCCCAAGAATAAGGTCGTCGACGGGGGCGCCGGGGCGAAACCGAGCCAAAAAATTTTCCAGCAAGGGCCCGGGCATCAGTAGGCGTTCGAGGCAGCGCAGGTGTCCCTCGGCGACGGCGATAAGTACCGCTGTGCCATGGTCGATCGGGTTGCACTGCATCACGCCGCCGACGGTCATACGGCAGAGAATTTCCGATACGACCTCCTCGCGGCCCATCTTGGAGGCATACGACAGGGCCATACCCATGACGCCACGATATTTGCTCATCACCTCAGTCGCATCAGACCGCCAGAAAGAGGGGATGATGGGAAGCGACAGCATGCAGGCGCGGGCCGTCTTTCCAAAATAGTGAGACAGATACGCGCGACACGCGGCGAGATCGCCGTCAACGGCCGCGACGGAAAGTGGATCCATTTTCTCGCGCATCCAATGAACAGGATACAACCAGGCATTCGTAGCTCCGATGAAAGGATATGGATTCTGCCGGAGCGCACAGTGAAGTTCGGAGCGCTCCGCCGGCGAGGTGCTCGCCGTGTCCGCGTGCGCGAGGTAGCGGCAGCTTGAGCGGACCGCCCGCCAGGCGCTCCCGTAGCAGGTTGCGGTCTTGTCTAAATACTTGGCCGACAGAAGGCCGATGCCGACAGAGTTGCACGCGGCGATGGCGTGGTCAAGCACCGTCGCTCGTGTTGCCGTGGGAGTGGAGACCGGAAAGCCAGGTAGAAGCATGCGCGTCTGGCCTGGATCGCCGACGGTGTAGGAGCACGGTGAAGTCATCAGCGGCGACGCGAGGATCTCGCGCACGATGTCGTGCCGATGATCTCCGATCGCGTGCGCCAGCAGCACGATCGCCGGGGAAGGCTTCTCTTCGACGAGCCGCAGGCGGCCGAGGTAGATGTCGACATCGGTAGCATCTCCGAAACGGACGACAGCCTTTTCGTCCGTGAGGCTGACGACCGAGCCGCGGATCCAGGAGAACTCGAAGCTGCGAAGCATTTCCGGATCGCCCTGTGTCTCGAAGTCGACCGCGTCGCCGGCGGCGAGCGCCCGGAAGCGATCGGGCCGCAGGAGGCTTTGGATCGCCTCCGACCCGCGGCGCCGGCCGGGCTCACTCGTCGCCTCCCCATCGCGCCGGCTCATGAGATCTTTGAGGACCGCGAGCGCCACGCTCCAAATGCCGAGGTCGTTGTCGAAGCTCGCGTCGTTTTGGTAGACGACGAAGCGCTCGAAGGTCGTCGCCGCGATGAAGTGCGAGTTCGAGAAGCAGGTCGCCGCGTCGCGCGCGAGCGACGTCAGGGCGTAGCCCGTCACCGCGGGCCAGAGCCAGTTGAAGACGCCGAGCGCCGCGACGTCGCCGGTGCGCACGTCGCCGAAGCCCCGCGCGCGCGTGCCCGGCGGTCCGAACGTCGGGTCCCCGCCGCCCGCGCCGCGGTCGCGGCGGCCGACGTGCGCATCCGTCATGGCGACGTCCTCGGGAAGGACGACCGGCGTGAAGGGCAGGAGCGCGCCGCTCAACGCCTCCTGCCAGACCGCGGCGCCCTTGGCGCCGACGGCGCCGGCCGGCCCGCAGACCTCCTCGAGGAAGACGGCCTCGGACAGGAAGCCCCAGCCGTGATGGGAGATGGCCTTCCAGGCGAAGACGACGATGCGCTGCATCGTGGCCTCGTCGAGGACGGCCGACAGAGACGCGGCCCGACGCATCGCGGCGTCGAGGTCCGACCGCGCGCCGTTGCGCCGCTGCGGATGCACCGGGCGGCGGCCGGCCGCGAGCGCGACGCGCCGCGGCACCGCGAGCTCGCCGCCCATCGCGTCCACGAGCTTCTTCGCGTCCTCGGGCGCGGCCGCCGAGGCGGGGTGCGTGGCTTCTGCAAGTTGCGGATCTGAGACCGGAGCTGGGCGGAGCCGCCCTCCGGGCCGAGCTCGACGGAGACGTGGCCGAGCGACAGGAGCGCCTTGCGGTGCCGGACCCCCGCCGCGGCGGCCAGCGTCGAGCGCGTCGCGTCCGCGTCCGCGCCGCGGAACCCGTCGACGGACGCGGGCGGGGGCGGCGAGAGCAGCAGCGTCGAGCCGCCGCGGCAGACGACGTCGATCGGCTTCTGCTCCTGCCGCGTCGAGAAGAAGATGATCTGGTCGCAGTCGGCGACGCCCGCGCGCCGCGCGGCGAGCAGCTCGGCCCGCGCCGCCGTGCGGACCGCGACCGTGAGGCGCGTCTCGAGCGACACGTCGAGCTCGACGTTCGCGCCGCGGACGACGCGCCGCGCGCGGCGGTTGAGCGCCTCCAGGACGAGCACGCTCCGGTACCCGGAGAAGCCGAGGATGGCGGTCACGTTGCCCTCGTTCTCCAGGACGCGCGCGAATTCGTCCCGGGCGGGCCGGGCGCGCTTCGCCTCCGCGTCGGGCGCGGCGCCATCGTCCGCGGCCGCGTCGGGCGCGGCGCCTTCGTCCGCGGCGCCGTCGGCGGCCGGCGGCGCGGCGCCTTCGTCCGCGGCGCCGTCGACGGCCGGCGGCGCGTCGCTCGGCGGCGCGTCGCTCGGCGGCGCGTTCGGGCCTTCCTCCGGCGCGCCCGCGCGCGATAGGTACGCGCCCATGCTCCTCGAGGGTGGTGCTCTCGAGGGGGCCTCCCGCGGCCGGGCTGCTGTGGGCACTGACGAGGTCGAAGGTGCCGTCGGAGCTGCCGCGGCGCGAGGTGCGCATGGCCGCCCCATCCATGACGGCGACGGCCACAGCGCCGCCGCAGCCGCCGCCGCCGCCGCCATTAGCGGCCGCCGCGACCGGCGCGCGGCCGTCGACGGCCAACGGCGGCGACGCGCCTGTGCCGCCGGCGCCGCACATGGACCACGCGGCGCTGCTGCTCGTCGCCGGCGCGCGCCTGCGCTACTCCCAGGAGACGACGGCGCGCGCCGTCGCCTTCTTCTACGAGCTGCGACAGTCCTTCGAGCGCGACGAGACGGAGCTGCTCGCGGCGACGTGCCTCTTCCTCGCGGGCAAGAGCGCGGAGACGCCGCGGCGCGTGCGCGACGGGGCAGGAAAAGAGTGCGAAATTCCCAACTTTTTGGACGAGCGATCATCGCTCGGAACGGTCTCGAAGCGTGGATGCTTTTTCCGGAACGCGCGCGAGCGGAACACTCACGTGAAG